TTAAACTGCATGTAATATGGAATAAATAATAGGGTAGTGCTTTTTATTTTTGGATATTCCGCGGTTTTGTACGCGCGTAAAACAAGGGAAACAAAATTTTCGTAGAATGCCACTAGACATTTATTACGATTCACTAAAAATCACAATCAAGGCCATCATTATTATAATGAATAATATAAAATGTTCCGAAGAAAACAACATTCATTCCTAACGCAGTTTTCGTGTAAATAAAGCTGTTTTTGGATTACAATGCCCTTACTACATAGGTTATTTCAAACTGCTATTTAATGCTTCATCAAAAAAAAAAAACTAAAGCTAACTGCAGAAAATATTTCAGTTTGTATCTAAACTATTATCAACTTGACGACACTTATCAACTTAATGAACTGGATGACACTTACCAAAATGCTACAGCATAATTATCAAAAGAGCTGTAATATGACAGTGAAAGACTTAATACTATTTCCTATATAAGTGTGCTATTTTCTTTATAGATTGTAGTTTATTGACGTTTAATAATTATTTATTGAAGCTTAATACAAGCCTATATTGAATAAAGGAATTTTGACTCTTGACTCTGACTTTGAAGGATGATATTTTTGCTGTTTTAAAGTCTTTTAAAATCCTATACCACGCTCTACTGTGAGGTCTGTGTCTGACTCTACCATTTTAATGACTTTATCGAACTATAAATGTAGTATGAAACATTCTTTCAATTGTCTGCTAACACAAAAGAGAATTTCGATATTGTTAATATTGACATTGATAATATTAATATTGTTAATATAACATTGCCATTACCGAGGTAACAAAACGCTTAAAGCGCCCACGCGCGTCCGCTTGGATTAATAGTACACATGCAGCGCCATCTGTCGAACGCCCTCGGGAAATGTTTGAATAGAACTTTTATTATGAAAATGGCCGCTGTTCTCTAAGGGAATAAATCGTGATATTGCATTATTATTGCTAATTAAAAATAGTAGCAACGGTTAATTTTTAATATCGAAATGCATAGAATATGATGTGCTATTGACCTCATTTTATAAATAAGATTCGTTAAAACTTTACGGATTTTTGCCGTCTCTAAGCTGTTAATTTAAAAGCAGTCGTAAATTCTAGCAGCGTCTTAAGGGCTATTTAGCCGTTTATTTATTTGAATACAAATTTGCAGAATAACACCAGTCATTTACAGAATAAATACGTACTACAATATAGACCTGTCCCATTCATACATTATAAATAGCAATAATATTTTTATTCACTTTTTAACTTTTTTAACTATTTTTAACGCGATTTGCAAAAAGAATTGCTAGATCTTGTTCTAATCAACGTACATATTTGTCTTCTTCTTCTGATTGTTCTAGCGACTGCAAGGCATTAAAGACCTACGTCTTGGCGCGATTTCAACAAATGGCGCAAATCGATTCAATCTGACCAAAAGCGCGAACCCAGAGACACGGCCGCACCGCCCACAGATAACATCGTCACACGCGTAAATTACGAACGCGGCGCGGGCAATATTGCAAAGTTACAATCGCGCGGCAATTATAATTTTGCAAAATTATTAGGTGCAAAGTTGCATTACGGCGCTGCCACGGGCGTACAGTCGCGCGCACTATCTGATGCGAGCGCGCCGACTTGACAGGTTAAGTGATGACTCGAGTGATAGAAGCCCGCCTTCAGGTGCGCACCGCGCGCACTTACTTTACGACGCGACTGTACCCAACTGAGGCGTCAAGAGAATTCATGTGACAGGAGTGGGTTTTCATTACGTACTTGCTAGTACATTGCACACTGATCTAACGCTGAGTCTGTACTAAAATGAGGCATCCAAGTGATTTCAAGCGTCTATAGCGGATTTTTTATCGCTCAAGCATTGGCTTATCGCCGCGACTATACCCGATTGAGACGCGGCGACTACTAACTGATTAATAACACGACTGTACCTGTTAACTGAAGCGTGAGAGAATTCTCGATACAAGTCTCTTTATTACGTGTTAGTGCTCGATTACCCTTTTCGACGCGGCTGTACCTAACGCGTTAAGAAGATCCACTTCAATGCTGTAATTTTTTACATACTGGCTAGTACTTTAGTATCCACTGGCTTATTAACGCGATTGCACCGAACTGAGATTTTCATTCCATTCTGCTTCTGGTGGTCGTACTACAGGAGTAACACCTCGCCTTATTTCAGCCACTGCTAACACACACAGCTATATCACTATGTAGTTGTGTGTACACACACATGTAGCAAATAAACTCTTTAGAAACACATGATAAGTTATTACTAAAATTTCAGGCTAGCTTTATGTAATTTGGAATTTTGTGAGTGCGTGTGGTACTTATGAAACCAACATATAGTACTATGGAATCAAAATCAATTAAAAAATACAATTTTGTGTATGCATATAAACATTTTAACTATACCCTTACTATACGACAACATTTTCCTGCATTGTAAAGACGTTTTACATGCATAAGTTCACGTAGACAAACATCCAGATTCGAAATAATTGTCTGTCACACAAATAGTGTGGGCACGGGATAACTATTTGTGTGACAGATAATTTAAACGATTCCCAAATCGTACCAACGACCGCCGGCGGCGAAACCAATAGCTTGGCAACAGTGCCATGGAGTCATCACATATATGTATACAAATTAATGTTAAATAAGTCAATTAATATAAGTGAATAATATAAGATCGTGACTCCTTATATCGAGCTTCTGCCTCCTAGTAGTAGACACAACGACAAGTCGTCAGAAATACTTATAAAGCGTTAGTAGGACTTACTTGCCAAATACTAGTAGGTAGTCTTTTGACTTACTAACTCTAATGTCGACTTTCGAGGCGTCATTCGTATATCAGGTAAACCGCCAGCGCGTTTGCCTCCTTATCACATAAAAAAAGTTCCCTGATTTATCTCAGAAGCGATGGGTTGAGTACCAATCAAATTAATATGGGCCTCCTCTGTACAGAGGGTATCAGAGCATAGTCCACCACGCGGCCCCACTGCAGATTGGCGGATTTCATATATCTTCGTACAATTTTTTTTATTATTATTTCGAAAATACGCAGGTGTTATCCTCACGATGTTTTCCTTCACCGCTGAGCACGTGATAATTGAGCACTTTAAACTAACTTGAAATTTTCATTAAATTGAAGGCGAGCGCCCGGATACACAAAAAAATATTATTATTCCAATAGAACTCTAATAAAATTCTAATTTAACTCTATCACTATTGTGTGTATATATATAACTACACTTTATGTTGAGTATCATTACCGAAAGCAAAAACACGTTAACACATCATCATGACTCAACTCGTAAGATAAGACGTGGCAATAAAACAGGATTCTAGTTCGTTGTAGTTTGTACTTTTGCGAAACTAAAAAAGAGACAGTACAAAGTGCGTGCCATTTGGCAAACAGAGGGCAGACAATCGCCCCTTATCGGCCATAATGCACCCATTGTGATGCAAGGCCGCTGGCTGATTGTATAATGTCCCACATACGGACTTCAAAGGCGGTCGGTTTCCGGGAAAACGATCTAACTGCAGGTAACGCTGCTAGTATCGCACCCTTTGTTTCTAGCGGAGTTTATTTCAAAGCGTCGAGACAAACAGACTATTGTGGCCATCTGCTTTGTCGCTTCTCGCGCCTTCTGCCCGTCCTGTATGAACTGCGACCCGTTTCGCGGAATGCGATTATTGCCAGTCGTAAATATTTGCGAAAAACCCATTCCTTTCGCTAAGCGTTTCGGCCGTTTGTTTTGTATCTGCTTTAAGGTGAAATGGAAAATGGTATCTTTAAAATGAATAAAGAATTTATACTTCGCTGTAAAATGTATCATCGAAAGTGAATATTGAAGTGTTGATGTTGCTAAAGCTCTGTCCGTCGCTACTAGGTAAGTCCCACCGCTGGGCAAATGCCTCTCCTATTAACGCAGAAAAAAGAGTAAAGTAAAGTAACAGCCTATACATGTCCCACTGCTGGGAAAAGGCCTGCTCTATACAGAGGGTATCGGGGCATAGTCTACCACGCGGCCCCACTGCGGATTGGCGGACTTCACATATTTTCGAAATATATTTTTTTTTTGTTATTATTTAGAAAATATGCAAGTATATATATATATAACGCAGGGCGCAGTCAAATTGTTCAAAATAGTTTTTATTTGATAATTTATAAGATAACATGTAGGTTTCCTAACGAAGTTTTCCTCAATAAAAAATTTCATTGTTCCCGACGATATTTGAACTCAGGTTTCCTTAACACACTGAATTAAAGACACTGCCTCATTGTAAATAAACAACTCATTATTATTCTTATACAATAAAGAATAATTTGTGTTTATTTACAGAAGTACAATGAACAAGACTGACTGACTATAATAATTATAATATAGTCACCGAGATGCTATTAATTGACACATTCACAATTAATAAAATCCGACATAGTCAACGCACTATCTAATTAAAATTAAATTCAAAAATAATTTCCCATTCGGAACAAACATATTTAAAAATTTACTGTATAATGACATTTTAAAATTCCAAGAGCAACGGGCATTGACGTCTTACAGGTCTAAGCGGACGTAATCCGCCATCTTGAAAGACAGGTATAACTCTATTGTTTACATTGCAGATAAAGAAGTCAGGGGTCATTCAACCCTAAGCCACCCCCACCCTTAAGCCGACACCTCATTACCGAGATTGGTGTCACCGCAGTTGTCATTTGAACTTGCTGTGGATTAGGTCGCGCATCCTTGACCTTCCTACTTTCGACCTTAGTCATAGTGAGAACTTCAGTGCAATAGTGAATTCTATTAGGACTAGTGACAATCGTCTTGGCCTATGTTGTGGGTTTAAACTTTGTTTAATGTAAATTTACGGCCGCACTCGGAGTCGGTACTTAATGTTTCAAATTCGTCTATGTGCAATGGAAGCTTGAGTTGCAATCGTGTTATAAGTTAAGTTTAGTGATTACCGTTAAGTTGAAAATGACGGAAGAGTTTGATGACAGTCTATGGAAATTGACACAATTCGTGAAGCGCTGGTGGGAAGACGATTATAAAAAGGTTTGTTTGAAATAATTAAACGTCGAACGTTATAGTTTATTTATCGTATATAAACTTGAGAGTATCAACTATAACTATTTGTAATTGGCACGTTGGCAATTTTAAAAATAATGTAAACAAACACGAGCGCTCATTCCCGCGTCTTCGCGCGCAACACTTCCGACTTTTGGCGGGAGACAGAATCGATTTTAAATTATTATTTAAACATCAGTTTCTTAAAAATATTTCCGTTACATAAAACTACATTACGGATTTTATTACGTTATTTAGTATCCGAAACATGAAAAAAAAAATAAACAAAATGAAAAAATCATTAAAAAATTTTATGTCACTTATTATGTAGTATTCACAAAATCAGTCATTACAAATAGTTTATTTAAATACGAAGAATTCCACTAAGGTGAGGTGTTAAATATTATACGTAAACAGCTCTATTCATTTTTTTCGAGCCAAAATAATGGTTAATGAGAAAAAAGCATTTATATAAAGATCGTATGAAACAAAAGTATAAACTCGCAGAGCTCTTTAGAACACTCTGTTGCATAAAGTTCCCCTATATTGCGTTTAAAAAGTAGAACTGGCTTGCTACCCTTGCAAAAGTTTCCCATAAGAAGCCGCTCAGACCCGGCGCAACTTTAAGGCGTTCATTACGCAAAATGGCAACGCGTTTTTGCCTGGCGCGGCTTCGAACCCGTTTACTCCATGTATCATGCGCTGAACAATATGGCTTGTCACGACACCGCGCCAAAAAACGAATGCATCGGCGCATGAAAGGTTTTTTTTTTACGAGAAAAGTGCGTCTGACATTGGACCTTAAAGGAACGCGGGAAAGCCGTATTGAACTGTCATTGTTTTTTTTTTTAATACGTGAAATATGTCTCGTCCATTCCGCCGGTAAGCGTGGGTCAGTTACGTCCTGCCAGTTTGATTTTCACACTGGCCATACGAAACTGTACCTTAAGTATACGCGATAAGCTCGACATTGGAGAGTCCGTCGCGATGTTTTTACGCTTGCCGGTCAATCACCCCGATTAACGACGCGATGTCGCGAAATCTGATTGCTTTTTTTCGACAATTAATACATAAGTTAACATTAAAACTATTGCATAAGCAACCGAATTACTTTAGGAAAAAAAGTTTGTGTACGCTTATGTACGTAAGAAGTTATACTTCTTTAGCGTAACAAAAGAAAATGCATATCTGTTAAGATTATTTATTAAAAAAGAGGCTTCAGAAATGTTTCATTGCATTTATTAATAAAAAAGAACACACGACAAGACGATTAAGCCATAATTACATGGACGTAGTCAGTCTTAACTGTCATCCGTGAAACTCAGTCGTCGCAAAGCCCTGTCATTTGCAACGCCCGTTTTAATTTAATGTGTAAAATAATTTATGCGGCAAAATTATTTAACGCGGTCCACTCGAAAATTGAAAGTCGCTTGAATTAGTTACAAAAAACGTTTAATTTTATTTACTTGTGCGTAAAATTGTTTATTCAGATATTATACACAGATTTAAAACAGACGTTCAACACAAATCACAAAGTTAATTTACGAAGCGTATCATTAAACATTTAGGTCTTCTACCTTCTACCGCAATGGTAAATTTTACAATCATAAATTTAGTTTGAATTGACATAATTATTATAGAATTTAAAACTAAATCATCCTAATTCTTTCTCATGACCCTTTAAAATCGAAACGAATAACTATCTTATTCTCTACATTCGAAATTCAAAAATTACTGGCAACGTGAAACGGGGCCATAATTTCATCATTCCAGACGTAGTTGCACTGTATTTAAGTTAAACGACACTTTATTATACCGCGTTTATGCATTTTCGAGAATTAGAAAAGCGATCTTTTTCGTTTCTAATTGGTGTGGTCCCGTAAAAAATCGCCCCCGACGCGCCGTCGCGGGCAAACGACAATTTAATTCTACCCAGAAACGGATAATGATATAGTAAGCTCAACGCTTATTCGGGTTACGCGCGGTAATCGAGTGACAAACGGTTTTAAAAAGCGACAATCGAGTTTTGTTGTGGCGCGGTAACCGAGAGGGTCCGGCGATACCACTTTTTTAAACGTACATTAATCATTGCTAATTTACTAGATTAATATTAACTATAGCTTTGATTGTGGGAGTTTTAGTAATGTTTATTTCAATGTTTCTTATGTTTATATTATTATATTAATGTAAGGGTTAGTTTTCCAATTATTCCAACAATTCAGATAGACAATTTTAGAACCACCTGTCAGTTGGGGACTAAAATGTAAAAATATTTTAGTAAAGACTAAATGGTTTAAAGAAATGTACTTCAAATGTTAACTTGTCGCTTGCAATCAACTATTTTAAATAAAAACCAAAGTAAAGAAATAATCCTAAGAAAAAAATTTTTAAAAATCTGAAACCTACCCTTTATACGAACGTTAAACTCGACCGGCGCTGCTCGAATTGTCCAAACATTAAGTCACAGTAAGCCAGTCGCCGCAAACACTTACCAAATGAATAGTAATTTTAGTTTACGGATCAAATCGCTCCGAACACGCGACACGGGCCGCTTTCCTATTCCGCAGTCGGCACGGAGCCGTCATTTTACACAATTTCGACCAATTGCTCTCGGTTCTCGGAATTAATTTGATATTAGCCCTCGAAAACGCAAGGTGGGGTTTGCTGCGGGACCGATTGTTATTGTGAAGACGCGTTTAAGCGTTGTTATTTTTAAGCTCGACTCGGACTCGATCTAAGCGAAGATTAGTCGGCATTAACGATTCAATCTATAATTTGCGATGGATGTCGTTAACTAAGTTTCGTCTGTATTGCCTCGTTATAAGCTATTAATGCGAGCTTATTTTAAAGATGTTCTTCAAATTTTTTTTTTCAATAAATAAGTGGTACAACAACAATGGTTCCTTGACGTCCTATAAGTAGTTTGGAGCTAAGCACGACGAACTGAACAATTTTTGTAGATAATTATGAGGCAGTAGCATTTTCTTCATTTGTCTTTTGCCTACAGCAGGACTACTCGTACAAGAGCAGGCAGTTAGCTGTAATTAGCAAATTATCAAATTTTTAATAAATAATATTGCTAATCAGGATCGAATTGGAACTCAGAAACATACTTTTATTTCGACGGCGGGATCTTACACCTTAAGTGGTCGCACTGAAATCATATAAATAACATTGATATTAGTTGTCATACAGAATTTTTAGTGGACTTGTTACTATTACTCGACATGTATATGACTCATTTATTAATAGAACGCGTTTCTTGTTACAGGAATCGCAGTCAACCAGCAATGAAAGATGGAATGGGCGTGGTCCAGAGCACAACATGGCTTTGCAACAAATACTCAAACTGCAAGAAGCCAGAGCGCTCCACAAGACTTCTCTCCTCCCGATCTACAAGAAGAACGGTATGCCGACGCCCGCGGTTTCTAACCACGATTACGAACAGCACAAACACGAGAAATACCAAGAGCAGCAGGTCTTAGAGCAGTTGAAACTCGAGGAGGAATTCCGAAGACTTATGGACAGATCGGTCAGCGATGGCCGCGGCGATGAGTCTTTGAAATATTTCCAGCATATGATGGAAGCGAGGCAACACTTCGAGTATCTAAAGAATATTAGAGAGAGAGACGCGAAGAGCGCCTATTCGGCGGAAGACAATATAGAAGCTAGGAAGGAGTCGTCTACGCCATGCGAGAGCAAATTTTCACCGATCCACAAACATTCACCTCCAAGGACATCGTCAGCCGAAGTCTCGCCCAATCACAGTGTTCGTCTGTCTACCTCATCAAGTCCACTTTCCGCGACTAGTCCTATCAACTCGTCACCACTTAGTCATCTACAGAACATGCAGCCATTCGACTTTCGTAAGCATAAGTTAAGTGAAAGCACTGCTAAGGAAGAGCCCGTCAAAAACAGCTATGGTATAAACAATGCGGAGAAGGCCGCCATAGAACTGATGAGGAGCCAGCTATTCAACTTTCAGCTGCCTCCGAGTCTACCCATTCCACCGATGACCATGCCATCATCGTTCTCGCACCCCGCCGCTATGGTCGCAGCTTTGAGTCAAAATCCTATGGGACTCGCGTCATTACAAGCGCTCCTACCTCAGATGTCGTCGAAAGTTGCCGAATCTGCCGATACTAAAATGAGCAATGGTCTAGGAAATAGTAGAACAAGTGAAAGAATGGAAGAAGAAAACGTTCTTAATCTAAGCAAAGATTCTTACGTAGAAACAACGCATAAATCAAGAGATTTAATGATAGGTAAATGTCTGAGCCCACCGAAAAGACATTGGGGTGCCTCTCAAATGCCCCTAAATTTGGGAACGCACTTTATAAATCCTGCTACGGGTAAGAAAAGAGTACAATGCAATGTGTGCCTCAAGACGTTTTGTGATAAAGGAGCTCTAAAGATTCATTTCTCAGCTGTCCACTTGAGAGAAATGCACAAATGTACAGTCGAAGGATGTAGCATGATGTTCAGCTCGAGACGATCAAGAAACAGGCATAGCGCTAATCCCAATCCTAAATTACATTCACCTCATTTGCGACGGAAAATATCTCCGCACGACGGCAGAAGTGCACAAGCTCACTCCGTACTCATCTCACAGCACGGCTCTGCTTTAAATATACCACCTGTTATAAACCCAATGCACGCATTTGGATCTTATCCAATTATCAATCCGGCGCAAAGTATTCGTCCCTATCCTAGTAATGTTGGATTAGATTATAAGAATAATATCAACTTCTCACCTCATTATGACCAATCACATCTTATACGTCGGGAATCTAATTCGGAGGACAACAAGGACCAGGATGGTCAAGGTGAGTCTGACGAAGATGACGGTATTGTTGTCGTCGCAGGGGATGAAGATGATGATGATAATGAACATATGGACACAAGTGATTACTACTCTAATTTAAATAAATCTATAGGCTCATTAGAAGATTCAGAGACCGATTTTGACCAACGCAGTGTGAGCGATAATAATGATGCAAGGAAAGATGGCGCAATCAGTCCGGAAGTTATGAAGAGAAAGCGTAAAAACTTAAATCCCATTCGACTACAAAGCAATCATTACATTGAAAGCCAAGAAAAGAATGATAAAAATGAAGACTGTCAAACCGATATCATTGACGACACCTTAATAGACCCTAAAAGAGTAAAGTGTGAAGATAAAAACGACAATTGTACAATAACAAATGAGAATTCTGAGCCGGCAAAGGTAAAAGAAGAAGTCTCGCAGATCAAAGAAGAACCTTCAGATGTAGATTATAATGCACAAGACCTAAGAATAAAAGAGGAACCCCAAGAAAAGGAAGACTACTGTAAAACCGTTGAAAAATCGCAATCAAACCTCGAGCAATATTCATCTGAAAACGCATTGAAAAGATTGGAGAGTTTATCGAAGGGTGACTTCCCAAATATGTCGAAAAAAGTTGAACCGCACCCATTGGGCCCGTACAATTTATCCATGCATGACACGATTGACTTTTCCGACAGATCTCCCGCCTCGTCGGTATCAAGTTACGATTACGTCACAGACGATAGCCAGGGGCAAATCCATGGACACTTCGAAAATGGTTTCTTCATCGTTATTTCAGACGTACCGACTGATCAAGAGAATCCACTGAAGTGCACCGTTTGCGACAAGCTATTCCAAAATATGTTTATACTGAAGACCCATTACCAAAACTCGCATTTAAAGGTGATGTTTAAATGTAGCAACGATGGGTGCAGGGCGTCCTTTTCGACGAAGCAACGCAGGGATCTGCACAGCTGCAATATCGACCTGCACAGAAAGATATTCTCGATATGCGGTAGAGCGTCGGAAGAGTCGCCGGCCAAAACTTTGGAGAGCGCGCGCGAGCAAATGGAGCTGATAGCGAAGTTGAACGACGACGAACGCGTCACCCCGTACATAGAATCGCACAAGTACTACCAGGCACGCGATTCCGAGAAGCTGAATCATTTGGGTCAGCAGATGCCCTTTGGGGCGCCGTACCCGCCTCTGCAGCTGCCCGAGGCGTATTTGAACGGCCGCGACATGTTCAACCAGCAGCCGTTCCTGTTCACCCCGTTCGGCATGCTGCCCAACTTCCCGCTGCCGTTCGGCTTCCTACCGCCGAACCTCGGCCCCTTCGGCTGCCGGGGCCAGAACTACTCGCCCTTGCCGCCGAAATTGAACTACTGCGTCGAGGACGAGGCCCCGAGGCCCAACAAGGACGGCCTGTACCCCTGCCGAGGCTGCAGGGAGCATTTCAAGGATCTGATGGGTTTGAAGCTCCATTGCGAGGGCGTCCACGCGCAGTCTCTGCACAGGTGCTCTGTGAGCGGCTGCAACGCGGCATTCTTCTCCAGGACGAAGAGGAACCTCCACTCCGAAGCGCACGCCGGTTCCAGGCGTCAGAACGGCCGGAGTCACCATCTGGTGAATTCGACGTGACCTGCTTAAGGATGCGGTGCTTATCAACATGTATATATGCATATATACATATATAAATTTTAGGAAATCGTTAAATCCAGTGCATTTGTGATGTTTTAGATGTAACCAATATATATATATATATATCGATTCCTTTAGGACGTGTCGAAAATGCCAGTACCTTTAATTCTCATTGGGTTATAGAACGCGATGGTTTTAAAGTTCCCCTCAAAATTATAGATCTGATTACTTGTAATAATATACGTAAATGGGAATGTAATTGCTAACGCATTCTTCCTTGCTTTCTAAGGCTGTGTACATACAAGTAGAGACTTACAAATTGCTATGTAGGATATTAGCCTTTATTGTATATAAAATTTCAACATTCCATAGTAATAATTGTGCAATAAATGTAAATAATAGATGATAATGTAAAAAGCATCAATTAATAATAATGATAATGAAACTTATTTGTTTGATATAAGACAGAATGACTCTAGTGCCCTTGCCGTTCAAATTGAAAAATAAAATAATTTATAATATTTATAAAGACGATAATCGTATCAAAAATTAGATCATATCTCTTGATTTTTTGGTGCTACTCATGTATTTCGTGTAATATTTGGATTACCCCAACTTTGGAGTCGTATTGTAAATGTTTAGTTTGTAATCTGTGTGATTTCTTTTTTTCTCTGTTACATAATAAATATTGATAATACGTAAGAACCAAAAAGTATTAAATGTGCGTAGATGGCGGACGTGTAAGATTGTACGAAAACGACGAAGCATGTTATCCTTCCTTTTGCCAAACGAATACTAAGTATGAAATAAAACGTTTAAGAAATTCGAGAGCATTTTAATTAATCCTCACCCAATTGTTTATTTACGGGAACAATATAAAATTCCAAATGAAACTGCCTATTTTCTCACTTTAAATGTTGATTAGAAAATTGAACTTTTTTCAATTGTAAATGTTTCTAAATGAACAAAAACTTTCGGCGCTGATTCGAACCTACGTCTTCTGGTTTCGCGCCGAGACGCTTTACCAACTAAGCTAAGCGGCCAAAGTTGATGTTAGTTTCAACTTCGACAAAGCAGCAAAAAGGAACAACGAGATAACTGTTCTAGTAGGAAGTAAAGTTACCTTAAATATTATAAGAAACTTATGAACCACAAAAACTTATGAAACCCTAAGTTGGAAATAAGAAATACGGGGATTCGAAACCAGGACCTATTATTGATAGCATTTCAGCGATTAAAACTTTTACATCACCTTTGACAAGTTTTTAGAATATTGTCTAAGGCACTGATTTATAAAAACTTCGACCAGTTTTGGTCGTGTTAATTATAGGAAAATGCTACAGGTAAGCATCCTAAATAAAATGACCGATATTCTTCAATTGAAAATGTCACGACTATGACTATGTTTGGTTTAAGTTACGAACTATTCCCATTAAATTATATTAATTTTATAGTGTACTTATTTTCTCTGCACTCAAGATGTAATTTAAAACATGTAGAATAATTCTATAGATATCTATAGATGATGGCAAACGAGTGGAACATAATAAAATTTGTAGGAAAATGGATGAAAAGTTTTTCTCTGCTACGTGTATTGGAACCTGCATCCTCCAGCATAGGCGCCAGCAGTGTTACCAACTGTCAAAAAAATACTCCTAAAGCAGTTATATAATCCACTAATATTCAGTAAATTCAAATCGAAACTCCCTAAATAAGAAACAATTAGGAATGTTTCTTTCTAAATTTAGTAAGAAAATTCCTAAGTTGGCATAAGCTTGCGCCAGACGCTATATATCTATCGATTATAATATAAATTTATGAAGGATTATTGCGAGTGACAGCTATAAGTCTACAAAGGATAAAAATATATAAACTGAACATAATTTGGAAAACATGTGACTACTTTGCATTCTACAACAGTTAAAACATCATACAAAACACCCACCAATGACGATTTTTTATTAATGAAACAAAGAAATCCGGGTAATAACCAAACTTATAAGTCGCTAGCCCAAGTCCTCAGATATATAAAATAAGTAAAGTAACTATTATCCTAGTTCCTTAATCTCCCGAAATAATTCTCACTGTCTTCAGCCTAACTCAATACTCTAACAGCTGAACTATTTTAGAACGTTTTATTATAATTATTTAGAACTAGAGGATGAATATCCTAGTGCTGTAGAGACGCTACAAAATAAGTAACAAGATCCAACACCTAGATAGGCAATAATAATCTGTAGTTCATAAATACTTGCCCCGATTGGGAATCGAACCCACGAACCCGGCGTCGAAGCCACTATGCCACCGAACCATCCTTCATTTCTTATAAATGGAAGTTGCATTGCATTGTGGTAACAGGTACATTTTTATTAACAAAAAGCAAAAACCGTCTTCGAATATGTTAGTTTCTATTTGATTTTGAGGAGATCCTTGATGTATCCTAACCTTGATCCTCTGAGGCCCAGGCACCAAAAGCAATATGGAAATTAAAATGGAACCAATTGGCAGCTAAGCCGAGCCGAGCTCAAAGCAAAAAATAATATATCGGTTCATAAATGACGGAGGAGACGAACAAAAAAATACACAACCGAATTGAGACTTAAGAAACGTACCTACATACTTACATTAAGCAAATTCTCCAATCTTACTCAACGTTAATTGATAATCAAACTTTACTAATTTTTTATGTTTTCTCTTTTCTTATCAACGCCACAAAAAACCCAGGTGTTTAAACTCGCGCAGAACATAAAACACTTACGCCCGGTTTCTGAAACACTGATCATCGTAGATGTCAACTAATCAGCTGTCAAATGGCTTATCAAATTTCATTTTAGTTGCCGAAAGGATGGTTAAACTCTTTGAATTGACAAGAATGAGTTTCTTAATGATCGGAATGATCAATTCAAAGAGTTTAACCATCCTTTTAGCAACGCAAATGACATTTAAAAGCTGATTAGTTGACATCTACGAAGATCAGTGTTTCAGAAACCGTTATATTCGTAAATTCATGATTGTTCTACGAACAACGGTATGTCTATTCTTAAAAAATGTAAGATGTAGGTATTTAACACCTTACATTTTTGAACAAATTTTAAAATTTCAACTTAATGCAGAGATTAGCACTATAAAAATTTTCATTTCGAATGGCAAAGGCGACATCTCTCGTTCGAAACTATTGTATTAACTCATTATTCGAAATTATTTGTGGGCTGTAAAGGAGATAACAACAGATGCGCCAAGCATTGCTTGGAATGCGAAAAAACATAGTAGATAAAATTGAGATTTGCGACAGTATGGCAACAAGCCATTTAGCTTAGTGGTTAAAGCGTCTGTGCGCTTATCTAGAGACGTGGGTTAGATTCCTGCAGCGGCAAAAGGCTTTGCGTCTATTTTTCTACAAATTTAATAATTAGGTAAACAGAAAATTTTGACATTTAATATATATTAAAAATAAATACAATTAAATTCAGTTCACATCGTGATGTGGTGTGGTGGCCCTAATCTAATCTAGCGACATATTGTATAAATTACATAAATACCGTATGTTTTAACAAAGCGTTAAAAAATTGCAATTACTAATCAAGACCTTTAACACGTATCAATTTCTTACGTATATACGAGTATATTACAGACTTATCTTTTTCTATCGAGGACTTATTAACGTTACAAAATCAAGGTGTCACGTCTCCCTGGCAGGGTAGACAGAAAGGTATTTTTAATCAACCGTATACCGTACACAGTATTATAATCATGGACGCTTGTGGGTTTTATTACGAAAACCAGTTCCAAGCCTTAAGAGGCCCGTTTATCTACGAAATACCTTCACGCCGTTCTCTTGAGGCCATGTGGAGCAGCCGGCTACTACAACGGATTTGCGTCTTGCATTCGGTCAACCCTTCATCACCCGAGCACAATACATTGAAAGTCATTAACGTTCACCTAGTCCTTAATCCTGTGAATAAATGTCACCTGAGCGTGATGTCTGTCACGCCGCCGCGTCACGCGACTCGACTGTCACGTGACGTGACGGGCCGTCACGCGGCGCGACGTCGCGTGTTGGGGCTCTCTTTAATTTTTAATCTGCTCTATTAACGGGCGACATGGCACCAGCGGGAGCCCCTACAAATTGATTCCGTGTTTGTAAGACTTCATATTAATGCTCGTTTCGATTGAAACTTTTAATGAGGCGCCGAAGAGGCGCAGACATTTAAAAAAAATAATATCGGTATAAGTCAGCTATTCCCATTTATGGTTCCGTTCGTGTGAACAAACAGAACCCTCATACCATATCTGAACTTGACGTTGATCTCTGAAACATATTATGTACCTATTATATCTGCTAGAAATATCAGCTTGGTATTCAGATCGTCTGTGAGACTTCTATCTATTCCGAAATAAATCAAAAGGTTCGCGCGAAAGTTACGTCGACTTCCAGAAGTACGCATGAAGAAAACGTCTCTGTATTACCACTATATACATATACATATAGTATGTTATAAGCCAGTAAAGTTAACAAATTAGGCAAATGAAAGAGATTTAATTATCTAAATAAACGGTATTAATAGGAAAGTTAAAAAATTGCATAATATGACTTAATTAAAACTACTATAGTATCTCATTAAATAACTTTTATTTTCTTTGCCATTCGGAAGTTTATTATGTATTCAGGGTGCCATTCACAGAGTATACTCTTATCATAAGGGAGTTTCGTTGCTTGGATATGTCTTGTATATGTCACGTCAACTTCGTTCATGACATGGCTTAGGAAAAGAAACAAAAGAAAACCAGCTGTATAAATTTGAAATTTCTAACTTAAACGTTACATTGGTTAATAGATCAGTCAGTCACATAGATGTTAAAAGTATGGAATAGGACGAGGTAGTGACCAAAAAGAGGATGCATTCAGAGCATATCAAATTTATAGGTAAATTATTTTTTTTTATACCCAAATTCAAAGGTAAGGTAACAATATCTCTGTAATCTTGTAAGTTTTGCAG